GATACAGCCTGTTTTCAAACCCTGCCAGTCAGCTTCCTGAAACCCCATACCGAGTCCTTTCATAAGGACGGGCAAAGGCGGGCCTTGAAAAGACTGCAAGGAGGGATGTCAGAATGACTTGTCTGAGTTATGTCCTGTGCAAAGCTCTGAGCCATTCCATCGAGATTTTTGAGGCAATATCCTCCCACACAAACAGACCACAGTTGTTACAGACACGAAGGGACTTCAAAAAGTTCATGGAAAGGGGGGATTAAAAGATAGTAGGGTTTTCCCATGAACTTTAACAGCTCTTTCACATACACCCTAGAACTCAAGTACTATTTCAATGACGTTCATTTAAAAAGTATATCTAGTCATACTCTGGGGTACTACCCAGGTGGAACAGTTAACACACTCAGCTGTTAAATGCACTGTTGGGGGTTCAATTCCACCCAGAGGCACCTTAGAATACAAAGGCCTGGATATGCCCTTCCAAAAAAACGAGGCATTGGAAACCGTGCGGCATGGCTCTGGCACACGTGGGGTCGCCAGAGTCAGACTCGATGGGAAGAAAGTGGTCCCTGGCACATTGGGGACCTGTTTCTCCCAGTGGGCCCAGGCCTGGGGGATATCCAGACACAGCAGTGCAGAGCGTAGCTCCCTGGGTAGAGGTCATTTGAGGGGGCAAGGAGCCCAGTGTTTTCTGCCAAGTTTCCGTGGCAGGGCCCAAGTTCTGACAGGCCACCAAACTGCTGAGTGGCATTGCTGGAACAGCGTGACTTTCTCAACAAGAGGCTCATTTCAACAAAACCCTGGCTGTAGCATCTGCATCCTCTGAAGATGCATGTCAGTTTAACCCAAACTAAAACTTAGAATTATTCTTATGTTTACTAAATATAATGCTAAATATTTGATATTGTAAACCGGAACTAAGGAGCTCATTTCCTTACGCAGCCCACGTCTGAGTCATGGCGTCAAAATCTGAGCGACGGAAGAGTAACCCAAAAAAGAAAGCACGTGGCAAAAAGAGAAAAATACTGCCTGGTATGATACCTGGTTTTTAATTTAATGGATTTTCTAAATGGACATAACATTTCTACGTATATTAGCAGCCAGAATGATTTTGATTTACATATCAAGTAAAATGTAATATGTTTGCTGTAATAAATTAAAACTCATGCTGAATTAGGTATAGGAGATTATTTTTTTCTCTATTCTGTTCCATAACAGTATCAATTAAATGGCATGCGATGACTATCATAGAAAATATATTGATAAGAGATCATTCTATGAGATAAACAAGTATTCGGATTTTCTCATTATTAATAAATAGTACATTTTCACATATGTTTGAGAATTGGTAAAAGATTGCAAGAAGATGAGATATATATTTGATTCTAAAATGTAAATTAACTTATATCCTAGATAATGAAGAAGAGGTAGCTCCATCTATGGAGAGCATGGGTAAGTGAAATTTTCATCCCCAGTTTTATAATATTTTAATAGGAAGCAAAGAAGCAAGAATACTACAATTTAAGAAATAGCCCTAGACCAAGACCCATTGCTGTAGATTCCAATGCATAGTGACCCTACTGAACCGAAGAAAAGTGCCCCCCTCGGTTTTCCAAGTCAGCCATAGTCTGGAAGGAGCCTGCTATATCTTTCTTCCGTGAAAGTACTGCTGGCTTTGCACCACTGACCTCTTTGTTGGGAGCCAAGATCTTTAACTACTACATCATCTGATGATTGAAAGATGTTTTGTGATGCTCAGCAACTCAACTCACTGCATGGGGTCTGTTCCGACTCATCATGCCCCTGTCGGGTCCGGTAGAACTGCCCCTGTGGGTTTTCAAGACTGTAACTCTGTACAGAAGTAGAAAGCCTCATCTTTCTCCTGTGGAGCAGCTGGTGGTTTTGAACTGCTGACCTTGTGGTTAGCAGTCCAATGTGTAATCCACTACAGCACCAGGGCTCTCCTTGTGTGACTATGGAGTGTTGTCAATCTTTGCGGTACTACTTTTATTAGAAAAGTATTTTTACTTTATGAACCTACAGAGACAGCAAATATAATCAGGGTTTCTGGGGAGGACAGTGGTGGGGGTGGTTAAAGAGAGCTGGTGTCAGAGTTTAAGGAAGAGAATGTTTTGTAAACGATTTAAGTGCAATTGTACAATACTGCATGATGTGGTTGAATTATGAAGTGATATGATATCTGTATTAGCTCCCAATAAAATGGTTTTGGGGGAAAAAGTATTTTTCAGGTTCTAACTCATGGGCTATATGGGTTGTCTGCACTTCATGCTAAGATTTTACTTTAATGTTCTGTTGACTTGGTTTTCCTTCTCTGTTCTCACCTCTGGTACCTTTTATTCTTTGGAGTTGTTAGAATTTTTCATCGGAAGTTCATTTTAGGTAAGACAGTAATGTGGCAAATGCAAATTATAAATCAAACAGATATGAATGGACTTTTTGCACATCGTGTGGAAAAAGAAGCAGGCATGCATATAAGTTCAGTATCATACCATGATGTAGCTGGACCATAATCTGAAAATGTGTTACATGTTTGTTTTCTTTCCCATTTGTCCGTCAATGAAGTGGTCAACTTTTCGATGATCCAAGAATTCAGCTCACAAGCATGACCTCTGTCCCTCTGTCTGGTGCTTCCACTCAACCCGCCTGGGAAGCCCATCTTAGTGAAAATGAGACGGTAATGCTGCTGCTGAGAGTTTATGAAATGGCCAGGGAGCTTTTCATCACACCCCTTATTCTACCGCCTCACAGAAAGAGCTTGACTTTTACGCCAATAAACAAGAATTTAGATAACCAAACTACGTTGTTTCTACTTTAATAGACTAAACATTCTTATTCCCAATTGATAGGTTGGGCTCCACCCCTCCCCTTACCCAGGAGTCTAGTTGACATAATCTCTAACCATCAGGGTAAATACACACAAACTGGGGATTGTATTAGCTTCCCGGCTTAAAAGAACACAGATTTATTCTGCATTCTGGTGGCCAGTAGTCTGAAATGAGTCTCAGCTGAAATCAAGGGATTGTCAGGGGCGCACCCCCCCCAGAGGCTCTAGAGGAGAATCTGCCCTTTCTTCTTCCAGTGTTTGCTGGCTTCCAGTAAGCCCGGATTGGTGGCAGAATCACTCTGATCTCTGCTCCGTGGTCACATTGCCCCTCCCCGTTTGCATCTCTTATTAAGGACACTTGTGATTGGATTTAGGGCCCATCCGGAAAACCCAGGATAATCTTCCTGTCACAATCCTTAACTTACTTCATAAAGACCCTATTCTTTTTCAGGAACAGTTTCAGATCCCAGGGACTAGGGCCTGAAATCTTCGGTGGCCACTCTACAGCGTACTCTAGGAGTGACCGTTGATTCCTTCCTCTCCCTCGACTGCTCCTCACCCTTCATCTAAACCATCCCAAACCCGCAAAGCAAACCCGTCGCTGTCGAGTTCAGTCTGACGCATAGCAACCTTATCCAAAACCAGATCGCTGGCATCACGTTGATTCGACCAGACTGACGGCTGTTGAGTTCATTCAAACTCATAACAACATTGCAGGAAGGAGTAGAGTGCCCCCACGAAGTTTCCAAGGCTGTAACGCTTTCCTCCTGCCTTCTAGAGCCTCCATAATCAGAATGGACCCCAAGGCAGTGAGTTTTACTGAAGCAGACCGCCACACCTTTCCACTGCTAAGCAGCTGGGGAGTCCAGTTCAAAACTGAGCGCTACACCACCAGAGCACCATCTAAATCACCCAACACCTTCAATTCCACCACTAAACTATGTCTCAGTGCCATTCCCCTTTATTATCACCGCCCTCCACTCCCTACAAACTTAGTCCAAGTCTCTGCCTTCTCCCCTGGCACCTTAACCTCTAACTCAGCACACACACACACACACACACACACACACACACACACCTTTATAGTCCATCAGCTTCAGCATGCTGTTGTTGTTAGGTGCCTTTAAATTGGGTCTGATTTACAGCAACCCCAGGTACAAGAGAACGAACCACTACCTGGTCCTGGGCTGTCTTCACAATTGTTTCAACCCACCGATGCTGCCACTATGTCAATCCATCATGTTGATAATCTTCCTCTTCTTCACTTCCCCACTACTTTACCAAGTGTGATGATGTGTCCAAAGTACATGAAACAAAATCTCTCCATCCTTGCCTCTAAGGAGCACTCTGGCTATACTTCTTCCAAGACAGGGCTTGCTTTTGGGGCAGTCCATGGTGCTTTCAATGTTCTTTTCCAGCACCATAATTCGAGCGCATCAACTCTTCTTCAGTCTTCCTTACTCAGCGCCCACACAAGTGAGGCGCTTGAAATAGCACGGCTCAAGTCACTCGCACCTTAGGACTTAAAGTCACACCCTTGCCTTTCAACACTTTAAGGACGACTTATGCAGCAGATTTACCCAGTGCAATGCATTAGATGACATGGCCAGGGGGGCAATACCAAAAGGATTACCTAACGTTTTGTGCAATATTTCAGCAAAAATTATTATATAGAAAAATAAAAATATATATATAGAAAAACTAAAACTCCAGTTAGTTTTAACAACAAAACGTTTTTATAAGCCCATCTGTGTTAGGAAGGGTTCTCCAGAGAAACAAAACCAGTACACTTATGAATGTGTGTGTATATACACACACACACACACACACACACACACACACACACACACATATATTAGTCCACATAGCAGTACAGAGGGCTCAGTTCAACGAACTTCCATTGAACAGTTAATATACTGGAAGTCCTTCAACTCATGTGGGCTGCTGGGTCCAAGGTCAAGGAAGCAGACACCAGAGACTTCCCCAGGGTAAGGGAGGCAGAGTCTGCCCGGAGGCAGAGTCTGCCCTCAGGCAGCAAGCAGCGTGGTTGGTCAGCAACAGTCAGTAGCTCAGGAGTTTAGGGAAGCAAGCCTGGATGGGATATTTAACGGAAGCAATGCAAGTCCACAGGATCCATTAGCCTCAAGCTCTAGTGACAGGGTCCATGGGTTGACCTGGCCCACAAGTAGTGTAGCTCACAGGTTGAGGCAGAGAACTAGCTACAGCAGCAGTAGGCATGCTCCAGCACGCTCTGACCACGAGAGAGCAGAAGAGAAGGTGGTGGGCGTGACTTGCAGAGCCATTTATCTCTTTGCCCTCCAATCAAACTGCAACTTGATTAATCCCACATGTTCCTCTTAGCCAGGTTGGTGCACTAAACCTAACTATCACACCACCTTATGTGTCTTACTATACTTACAAGGCTAAAATTTCATCACACATACTTTGGACTTATTTTCTGGATAGATCAGTCCCTGGAAAAGGACATTGTGCTTGGCAAAATGGAGGGGCAGTGAAAGTGAGGAAGACCCTCAATGAGATGGATTGATAGAGGGGCTGCAACAATGGGCTCAAACGTAACAATTGTGAGGATGGCACATCGAACAACATTCAAATTTGCTCTCTCACATACACACACACAGAGGCTTCAGGTTGGAGGTAAGGAAGAGCAAAATCTATTTCCTTCACCACTGTACCTACAGCTTAGAATTATTCTTGAGGCAAAATGAGGACTCAATAAATATTGTTTGATTGGTTGATTGTGTAAATGGATGAATTGTTTTCCCCATATGGCTTGTCTAAATAAACCATCATCATTCCAACTTTTAAATTTTCTTTGCTCATTCTGTTCTCCTACATAACACATCATAATTTGTACTTACATATTTTGAGTGTCCTAATTTGTTTAAAAGAAGCCCTGGTGTTTCTGCCAGGTAAGCATGGGATTGTTAACCAGAAAGCTGGCAGTTCAAACCCATCAGCCACTGATCAGGAAAAAAATGAGACTATTTGCTTCCATAATGACTTGCAAAGCATCAGAAGTCCTATGACTATAAGTTGGAATTATCTTGATGGCAGTGGGTTTGGTTGGATTTTATAAGTTTAATGTCTGTTTCGCCTACTAGATGGTATACCCTCTCACTAGCACCATGCTTTTCACACAATAGCTGCTCCATGAATATTTGTTGACTGAATAAGTGGACAGCTAGGAGAACCATAAACTTGAGAATGTTATTATAGAGATGTTTTAATGGGAAAGAAATAGAGTGAAAATAGGACTGTATTTGTTTATGAAACAAAAAAGCAAGCTTCATATTTGTGAGGAGGCTTGCGGGTAGGTTTTTTTATGTAACACCCTGTTACACAGGGCTCCCCACAAGAATCCCTCAGAGCCCTCTGCTTGGTAGGTGTGGATTCCTCACTTTACCGGTTGCCATTCAGAATCCTGGCTCTAGACTGCAGGGTACTAGGATTCACGCTCTTCCCAAGGAACCAAAGTATAAGCAGACTAGGTTCATAAACTTCTAAAGGCTAAAGGGTAGTATGATTTTTCCATGTAGCTAATGTTTAAGAAGCACTGGCGGCTGCCCGGCATGTTCCTCTCATTTCTCTAGCAGAATCAACCAAATCCTCTGCCATGACTCTTGCGGATCTTAGAGAATAGACTAGGACTATTTGGGTTTCCAACACTGTCAATCTTGATGGGAGCTGACAGCCTCATCTTTCTCCTCCAGAGCAACTGGTGTATTTGAACCACCAATCTTATGGTTAGCATCCCAGTTTTTAACCCACATACTACACAAAGTAGGCATTATTGTGACTATTACAAAGATAGAGACCCCGTGACGCCTAAATGTTAAGTAATTTACCTAAGTCATATGTAATACAAATTAAAGTATCACAGGAATTAGACCTTCTTCAAATCACAATCCCACCGCTCAGTGAGTTTATGACCACAAATGGCTCTCTGGGCTTCTGCTTTCATGTAGGAAAATGAGAGAGTGAAGCCTTTATGAGACTGTTGTATAAATTAATATAGGTAACGAGTGCTCCTTTTCTTACAGAGTGGCAGTCACAATGTGTATGTATAAATATATAATATATATGAATTGTATGTCCTATATACAAATAAATCCTATATACATATAAATAAATTATTTTATTAAATAAATTATAGGTGAAATATAAATTATATATTATATAAACATAAACTCACTGCCTTCAAGTAAATTCCAATTCATAGCGACCCTATAGGACCCATTCTACCTAGAGTGGCCCCTGTGGGTTTCTGAGGCTGTAACTCTTTACGTGGAGTATCTTGTGGTTTTGAACTGCAGGCCTTGTGGTTAGCAGCCTAATGAGTAACAACTATGCCACCAGGGCTTATTTCTCTCTCTCATGTATCTCATAAAGATTGAGACATACATCAACGCAATAAAATAGAGCATCTAAAATAGATTTATGAATGCATGAAGAGGCTTCAAAATATTTGTGGAAAGATTACACTTTCAATTCCATTTTTCCATAAAGGTTTTGAAGCCCCCTCATAGGTCAGATTGATTTTCAAAAAAAAGTTCCAAAGCAATTCAGTGAAGAAAGGATAGTGTGTTCAGCAAATGCTCCTGGAAATGTTTGCCAAAAAAAGGTGAACTTTCGTGAGAGCTGATGTTATACATAAAGGTTCACTCAAGCGAGACCACAGACCTCGACATAAAACTGAATATTTCTAAAACATTTGTAGAAAACACAGGAGAAAAGCGCGGTAACTTCGATTGGGAGCAGATTTCTTAGTTACAACACAAGAGCCCCAAATCTTAAGAAGTGTTCGCGTAATTCATTTTTTTTGTTTGTTTGTTTTAATGGAATACTATTCAGCAGGAATCATAAAAAGGAGTAAAAATGCAATAAAACATAACACATGGATGAATCTTCAAATAATGATGCTGAGTAAAGTAGCAGCCAGACTGGAAAAGAGCCCCGTGTGTATTATACAGAATTATTCCACTTATAAAAATTTCAGAGAGAGAAACTAATCCAGAGTGAAAAAGAGTGGTCGATGACAGCTCATGGGTGGGAAAGAGCTACCAGGACTGTTGGCATATGGAGACCCCCGGGCATGGTGACGCTGCTTCCTATCTTGATTGTGGTGGTGGGTCACAGATGCATACTTATACTTAGCAAATTGCACCTTTAATATATGCAGGTTATTGTAGCTACTTTTAAAATGATACACCTTAAAGGTCTAATGCCTTAGTTAAAGAACTATCCTACTTTCTTAGATAGCGGGCAGTTTTGGGTCTCCGTGCACACCTCCGTCTGAATTCCAAGGCACCAGCACAGAGAGGCACTAGCCCCGGTAGTAGGTCCCACAGTTCCCTCTAGTGGTATGCAAAGGCAAAACTACAGAGTTCTAGTCTGCATTTGAAAGGATTACACATATGTGAATCCCAACAGCAGTTGCCCATTGAGCATCTCATAAGTATGATGTTAGACACCTTCAGGGACTTTTTTTAAAGGAGGAGAGTATCTAATTTACGAACAACTTGTTAGTCAGGATGATGCTAAATGCCTTTAAATAGAGGAGTGATACCTACTTTATAAATGACTTGTATTCCAGCTTGTTACACCAAATGATTGTGATTTGCAATGTATTTCCACCTATCATTAGAGTTACACATGAAGTCATTTTAAAAATACCCAAATTGCCTGAAGATTACCATAAATATTACTAGGACATTATCATAGAGTCAATGGGGAAAGATGCTTCTGTGAGAAAAGAAGTTCAAAATTCCTACTTGAGAGGCCACACAGACTCCCTCCGTAGCCGAGCTGAGCAGTGGGAGGAGGGGATGGGTGGCAGGCACCCAGGAGCAGAGGGCTGGAGAGAGGGGCGGGGGTCCTGGGACTGTGCGAGCATGCAGCTGGGAGAGAGGTCTAGCGGCAGACGCAGAGCTGAGACCGCACTGGGAGAAGCAGCTGAAGAAGCTGATGGTGGTTTAAAGGACAAACAGGATGGAAAGCTCTGTGGGGGAAAGAGGAGAGAAACAGCCGGACTGCTTCCCACGCAGATTTGTTTGTTGCTCTTGGAGTCCGTGGACTAGTCAGCGTTCTTTGACAACGCCATAATTCACACGCGCCAGTCCTTCTCCACCACGTGTCTGGCAGTGTGTCACACTGTGGGGCTGGCTGTTGCTGTGGGGCTGGGAGCTGTGTCACCGGTATTTCAAGCAGCAGGGTCGCTCAAAGTGAACAGGTTTCAGCGGAGCTTCCAGACCAGGAACAAAGTATGAGGAAGGAACAGGCTGTCCACCTCCGAGGATACAGCCACTTAACTCTCACAGTCAGACGCCTTGGCATGTGGCAGCGTCAAGGACATGAGAGTAAACATCTCTCTGGTGTTCTCTGCTCTCAGCCCAGAGCCATCTGATGTCAACAATGCCACCCCTTGTTCCACATCTTCTGACTCCTGCCTGATGCGGGAGCCGCTCCCTGTCAATGGACTGCGACAACCTGTGTTGCACGAGCTGCAGCCTGTGATAGCAATGATATGGTTCTATGGTGGACACAACTATGGATCTCTTCCAGTAAGTTGGCCAAGTAGTTGTCTTCCAACTGAGTGCTTCCAGTGTTTCATCTGCTTGTTGGAACATTTTGATTGACGTTGAGTCAATTTCTGGAGCCTTGTCTTTGACTAATACTTTCATTGTAGATGCCTCAGAAACCCACGGAGCTGTGGGCCAGGTAGTCCTTGAGACAGATGTTGCCAACCTGCTTGGTCTGCATGGCCGCTAGCTTGGGACGATCAGTGATCCGATGGCCAAGGCCCCCACAGAAGGCACAGCCCACTCTCCTCTGATGTCCAGCACGGACTTGTCGCCGCAGAGCAGCACAGGAGGTGCCTCTGCATGGCCTCCAGCAGCAGGGCTGTGCGGTCTTTCAGCACGGACTCATCGCAGGGCTTGTTGATGAAGGTGGTGGCGATGCCAGTGTTTCCAGAGCGCCCTGTGCGGCCAATAGAGAGTTCATAGTTCTCGGTCTCCTCAGGCACGTCATAACTGATGATGTACTGCCTATCCGGGAAATCCAGCCCCTTGGAGGCAGCATCTGTGGCCATGAGAACATCTTTCTTGCCCTCCCAGAACACCCCAATGGCCTTGGTCGGCTCCTCCTGGTCTTTGCCCCGATGGATGGCCACTGCCTGCACCCCCTAGAGCCGCAGGTACTCACGATGGCTTCCACATCTGCCTTCTCCGAAAAGATGAGCACAGTGGAGGTGTCTGCCTCCTAACTGATGAGGAGACAGAGAAAGAAGGAGGAGGAGGAGGAGGAGGAGGAAGAAGAAGAAGAAGAAGAAGAAGAGGAAGAGGAAGAAGAAGAAGAAGAAGTAAACTGTGGGCAAGGGAAGAAGAAAAAGGAAAAGGCAGCTTGCAGCGCTGGTCAACTAGCAATGGTATGGGGTAAGAGAGTAGAGCGCATCACTCTAGTCACCACCTGTCACTGAGGTGTGTACCAGTGCAATCCTGGGCAGATGGGACAGGTTGTCTGGTTCCTGCCTCAATTGCAGCACTACTTGCAGGAATTCAGAATGGCAACCTTTTGCCAGGCCAGTTGGCAGTTTACTGCTCCTTGCCTCCTTGTCTGCTGGTGTTGTTCAATCTCGTTCTCTAATCCACGTTGCGCCGACCTCTTTATCCTTCCCTTTCCAGGATTGGCGCCGCATCTGTTCCACTTGCTCCCGTGGAACTTTGTGTAGAAGGGGAGTAAAACTGCCTGGTCCACCATCTTGCACTGATCTCTTGAATATATTTACTTTTAAAATATGAACAACACTTTTAAGGTCTTTTATTTTTTTATCACGATAATTACTTTAAGTAAACAATTGCATGTTTCCAACTATTAATTGTTTTAACGTAGTTATATTTAATGCTGCCCTGTCTTTTGTAGGTCATCCTGAAATTTTCCCTTTAGTTTTAACCACCAAGACGCAGGAGATATTCAGCTGCCGAATAGATGAGGACATCACAGATGAACAACCTTATAAGCTCATCAAAAAAGAAGCTATCCTCGAAGATTTGCAAAACAGAGCTGCTGTGTCTGACTTCCACCCAGTCAAAAAACTTGTCCGAGTAAATATAACCTTCCTTTTTATTTTTTCAATTCTAGCTCAAAAGGTCCCTTTTTCAGATGGTTGTTGTCATGGGTAGGTGCCATCCAGCGGGTTCCCCTCATGACCCTCTGCACAACAGAACAAAACTGACGTTCCTGCACCGTCCTTGCAATGGTCCTATCCCAGGGCCCATCATTGCAGCCACTGTGTCAATCAATCTCACTGAGGGCCTTCCTCTGTTTTCACGGCCCCTCCACTTTACCAAGCATGTCCTTCTCCAGGGACCGGTCTCTCTTGACTACATGTCCAAAGTATGTAAGGCTAAGTCTTGCCATTCTTGCCTCTTAGGCGCATTCTGGGCATACTTGTTCCAAGACAGAGAAGTTTGTTCTTTTAGCAGTCCCTGGTACTTTCAACATTGTTCTCCAGCTCCACAATTCAAATGCATGGATTCTTTGATGGTCTTCTGTATTCAGTGTCCAACTTTCAAGTGCATATGAAGCAACAGAAAACACCATGACTAGGGTCAGGCGTAAGTTAATCCTCCCAGCAACATCTTTCTTTTTCAATACTCCCAAGAGGACTTGTACAGCAGATTTGCCCAGTATAATGCTTTGTTTGATCTCTTAATTGCTGCTTCCATGAGCATTGATTGTGGATCGAAGCAAGACAAAATCCTTGACAACTTCAACTTTTTCTCCATTTATCATGATTTTTACCTACTGATCCAGTTCTGTTGAATTTAGTTTTCTTTACATTGAATTGTAATCCACACTGCAGGCTGCAATCCTTGATCTTCATCAGCAAATGCTTAAAGTCCTCACTTTCAGCAAGCAAGAGTGTGCCATGTGCATATCCTGGGTTGTTAATAAGCCCTCCTGAAACCCGGATGTCACGTTCTTCTTCATATAAGCCAGCTTCTCTGAGGATTTTCCTGGCATACAGATTGAACTATTGAGAGGCTACAGCCCTAATGCTTGCCTTTTCCGATTTTAACTCATGCAGTATGCCCTTGTTCCGTTCCCACAACTACCTTTTGGTCCCTGTATAAGTTCCTCATGAGCACAATGAAGTGTTCTGGAGTTCCCATTCTTCTCAAAGTTCTCCACAGTTTATTATGGTCCACAGAGTTGAGTGCCTTTGTATAAACTATAAAAACAAGTAAACATCTTTCTAGTATTCTCTGCTCTGAGCCAAGATCCATCTGACATCAGCAATGATGGCCCTTCTCCCGCATCCTCTTCTGAATCTGGATCCATACTAACAAAAGTATGGAGAATATTGAGTTTAAGTCGGACACACACACCCCTCCCATTACTTTAAGTAAATGATAGTTTGTCCATATCTCCTTTGATGCCCTGTTTGATGGCCTTCTGTGCAGAACATAATCTCACCAGGAAGCAGCTGTGTTGTCCCACACCTGGAAAAGCACATCCGTGCCCAGTTTTAACTAGAAAGAAATCCACCTTTATTTTCTCATATTGATTCCCATCATTTGGTCCTGAGTTTCCTTCAACATGCTCTTAAGAACAAGGCCAAGGAAATGCAGTGCTTCTTCATCCATTTGCAGAATTCCCATGTGGATTAAGCCTCCAGAGAATCCCCTCTGAGCAGCGGCCAGGACTATGAATGGCCTCGCTGTCGGAGCGAGTGCAGGACAGTGGATGACTGCAGATGCCGTTGGGTTAAAATTTAACACCTTAGTTTTTGTTCTCCCAATTATTTGTTGACCCATTTTAAATGTATTCTACTTTTTATTATTTTCTGCTTTCTTTTGGATTGAGGTTTCCCCATGTTTTATTTTGTGATTGTAGTTGACGTTTTTTGCTGTGTGTATGTTTTGATATGAAATCCAAGAAATGAGAAGCTAATAATAATGGGTACAAGAATGGAATTGATTGTGGTGATAATGGCACAACTCTTTTTAATATGTTTAAACCATTGAATTGTATGACATGTGACTTACATGTCAATTAGACTTCACAGTTTTTAAAAGGTAATGCTTTTTTTTTCTTTTAGAAATTAAATTGCACAGTAAATTTCCCTGGACTCATTGTGCTTTGAGCACTCTTTATAGTTAATAGTTTTGTAATCTGAAGTTCAGAGCCCTGTTGGCAGAGTGGTTATGGGTTGGTCTGCTAACCACATAGTCAGCAGTTCAAAACCACCAGCTGCTCCTTGGGAGAAAGATGAGACTTTCTGTAAAGAATTACAGTCTCGGAAACCCACAGGAGTCAATCTATCCTGCCCTTTACAGTCACTCTGATCAGCATGGAATCAATGGCAGTCAGTGATGGTTCAGTGGTAGCATTCTCATCTTCCAGGCACGACATCGGGGTTCAATTCCTGTCGCAACAGACCTCACGCACAGCATGATCCATGTGTCAGAGGAGGCTTAAGTGTTGCTATGATGGGGCGCAGACTTTCACAGCACTTCAAGACTAGGATGGTCTAGCAAGGAAAGCCTGTCGATTTAACTCTGAAAGCCAGCCAATGAAAGCCCCATGGATTATAAATGTTTGACCTGTAACTAATCATGGGGATGGCAGAAGAAAGAGGCAGCACTTTAGTCTCCTGTATGTGGAGGGCCCCTGAGTTGGGGCCAACATGACAGAAGCTAAGACCACAATAATGCCAACCACATATTGGCAGTATGGTTATCTTTTCTATTACATGATTGATTTACTAGAAAAATAACAATTCTGTGTGACAGTGCCTGAAAAACAGATTGTCCTTTGAGTATTAACCTTCTCTTTTTGTTCTATTTCTATAGGAATATCCTGGCGATGAGCTTCTGCTTGTTTGTGACAAAGACTTCAAATATGGACTTAACTTTTATCTCATCGGAACTGAAGAAGGCAAGGAGAACTATTTAAATGTAAGGATACCCACACATCCTTGCAATGTGTTGATTCTGAAAAGGAAGGTGTCGGGGCCTCTGCCAGTTGTCCTGATCATTGTTAGTTACCTCTGTATCCCAGCACCCAGGTTGGGTCCTGGTCCCTAGAGTAGGTGAACCACAAAGGTGGGGTGAATTAAGCCAGTTACCCCAATGCAGCAGATACTTTATTCTTTGCCAGTTATTGATCCAGTGAGATAGGAAATAGTGACCCTATCCTGGAGCAGTAAGTGGACCAATACAAGTAAAGACCCTTGACCTAATGCCTGGCACAAAACTAGGTGTTCCATCGAAGTTTTCTGTGATTACTTAAAAGGAAACATTGAAAGAATGGCTCAGCCAGTGGGCAGGTGAGGGCGAGGAAGGTGTGAAAGATGGGCAGACTGGTGGTTTCCAAGGAAAGGCACAACGTTCACCACTTAGGAATTGCATTCAAGGTGGTCATGACAGGGCACGGGGTTTTTGAGACTCACCTTCCTATCTTGCAGCCTTGTAGGGAGATACATTACCTTCCTAGTCAAGATTTGGTCAAACTGTTTGAAGAAAACAGAGACGTTTGATCATCCAATAAAGAAGGGGGGAAAGGGAAAAGTGTTAAAATTTAAAAAATATATTTGGCCTTCCGCTGCGGCAGCCATCGAAGAGTAGCCGCCATGGCTGTGCGCTGCCCTATGGCCGTGGGCCTCGACCAGGGCCACCAGGTGACCAAGAACGTGAGCAAGCCGAGGCCCAGCCGCCGCCATGGGTGCCTCCCCAAGCACACCAAGTTCGTGCAGGCCAGGATCTGGGAAACATGTGGTTTCGCATCCTATGAGCGAAGGGCCATGGGGCTGCTCAAGGTCTCCAAGGACAAGCGGGCACTTAAGTTCATCAAGAAGTGGGTGGGCACACACATCTGGGCCAAGAGGAAGAGAGAGGAGCCGAGCAGCGTGCTGGCCACCATGAGGAAGGCCGCTGCCAAGAAGGACTGAGTGCCATGTCGTC